AAAAAAAAAAAAAAAAAGCAAACTAAATGAGAGTTGTAATAACAGCATCATGACCTGTCGATGATTATTTAGTTCAGAGTATAATGTGTTTTAAATAAATCAGAGAGTGATATTCACTTATGGGGCAACAGTTCTATAGGATGCCGGAGTTCATCCTGCAAATGAAGGGTCGCTTTTTTTTAACCTACTGATGGTCGATGGTCGTCTCTGTATGGCAGACTTGCTTCTGTCAGTGAGCGCCGTGGCAGCTGTGGCTATAACATAGTTTTCCACCATCAGTGCATGCATGAATATATGAATGACTGAAAGTAGTATAAAAAAGTTTGGAGTCCCTTGATTTTCAAAGGTTCTATGTAATTACAGATCATTAACCATTTCTATATTTTTGTGAGAGCTTGTAAACACAAACTTTGAACTGTCTTCAAGACTCTACTATGGTAATAGATACCTACTTACTGGAAATTGTCAAAAAGGGGAGTGGCAGCCTAGTGGTTAGGGCATTGTGCTTGGAATCCAGAGGTTCTGAGTTCAAGCCCCACTCCCACTGACTGCCACTCTGGGTCCCTGAGCAAAACCCCTAACCCCACAATGGTCCCTGTCACCTCACAATGGCAGCCTACTGCTCCCCAAGGGGATAGGTTAAATGCAGGGACTTCATTTCATTGCTTTGTACTTGGGACAGTGTAATGCCAAAAAAAAAAAAAAAAGCAAACTGACTGTGGTCGAAAATTTAGTTTCTCTTATTTCACATAATATATCCTATTAACATTAACTCACTACTGTATACAAGTTTTTACTCAGTCTGTTTCATCTGCAAGGCCACACAATTCCCCTGTATAAGGGTGTTTTTAGACCAGACATAGCTTCTTCCCAAAACAAGACAATTCTTTCTCAAGGTTTATTCATAACATGTTACTGTTAACCAACGTGTCTGTAATTTGTTTTGAGTCTGAGAACTTTACATTATTGTAAGTAAGGGGGAACAAACGCTGCCTAGGCAGAACAGGACTGAATACCAAGCAGTAAGGGCTGTATGATGAACTGTTCTTTCTTTGCATAGATATGAAAATAAATATACTGAGTGAAATCCATCGATCTCGTTTTATTTAACTGGGGTGAATAGTTTAATACTTTTTTCCCACTACAATGACCCTGCAGTAAACGTCCAAGTTGGATCTTAAAACAGGGAGCAACCCAAGCTGAGGTGATTGTAGTATAAGCTGTGAAACCAGCAGGTTTACTTAATGCTATACTGCCAAATAGTTAAATATTAACAATACTGTACATTTTGCTATGTATTCCAAAGTTTTGCTGGCAGTTGAAGTTATTTTCATTTGATACAGTAGGAGCCATTATCTGTTATTTTATAACAGTCTACCTGCACACTGGCACAAACATGGATTAGAGCCAGCATAAAGCATTTAGATATAAACTGATTTTCAGCTACAACTTAAGGCCATGTTAATGATGCATGATTTCTAAATGAAACAGAAAATGACACATGGAAACAGACCAAGAGATAAACAAAAATGCAAGTTTATTAAACTTTATAACACGGTTAAAATTACTCAACACAGCAATCCCTCATTTTGCATTGTACTGTAAAAACTAATTACTTCAAAATGTTTCATTAATACTGAAAATGGCTTTTTTTCAGATGGCCCTTACCAAAAACCTGATGTTAAAATACACTTAAGAGAAAGGTATATTTTTATTAGTTTATTTACCCACCTTTAACCCATTGAGACACTTGAGAATTACTCTTTTACACTCATTTACGGTGCAGTCTTGGAGTTATTTATTATGTATTTATCTTTAACAAGGCACTTTATATTCACCTGCAGCAATATGTATGATGAAGGTATTCTTCACAGAACTGATTTCATATTTAGACAAAAAAATAAGTTTGACCTGGAACAAATGCAGTCAAACTCAATATTGACCCCATGGTGCTTGTAGAGAAGAAAACTGTTGTTGGCAAGAATCTGATGAGACAGTGGAGTAAAGGCATTGCTAAAATAAATATTTCCTTCATCTTCCTCTCCTTATTCCTGGACTCTCCTCTACATAGTTTGATTCGGTGGTTTCTGTAAAAAAAAAAAAAAAAAAAAGAAAAAGATTATTTTCCTACTGCAGGAAAAATAATAACATTCAGCAATAATCAAACTGTCTGATATCGTTTACCATCAAACTTGATTAATCCAGAACTTAAATTGGTATTTTCAGTATACTCAATGTCACATAGTTGTCCTTTAAATAAAGCAAAAGATTAGAGGTAACTATGGATGTGGAATATAGTTACTAAGTTTATACTCTTGAAATATTGTGCAGTATCCATTATCTATACAAGCTTATCCTTGTGGATTATCTGAGTTATTGGGGATTGTTGTTGGAAAGACAGCTCATATAGTTCCTTTTTTTTTCTAATGCTTCTGAAGAAATCTATTTGTGTTTTTAAATGAAAGGTTAGAGTGTCTTGATATATTGACATTAATTTTGTTGCTTTACAGTTTGAAAGCTCTTTGTTGTAGAGAAACGTAGTGTAGAGTATGAAACATTTACCTTTGTGGTGGTGATAGATGATCTTTTCTTTATTGTTGACAATTAATAGAAAAATTATAGAAACACTAAAGGCCAAAAGTCCTCCAAGGACAAGAACTATAGGGTCTGATTCTGGTCCTAGATTGGAGGAAAAGAAAAATAGATCACATATAATCGAAGCATGTGTTGTTAACAAAGAGCTGATTGAAAAGGTGGTTTGGTATTTTCTTTATGTCTGTACAGACCACAAATTTCTAACTCAGAAACAAACATTGGAAGAGTTGAAAAGATGGTTAGAATCAGATTTCAAGTTTAGATAGGATGTGCTTTTACTATTCATAACTGTCACTTTATCGGATTATTTCTCAAATCAAATTCAATGTGAACACATACTTGTCGCTACTTTAGTTCCTCCATCAAACAGTATTGATCCACATGTG